GAGCTTAATTTTGTTGATAATGAAGGTGGTTGAATTTTGTTTTAGTAAAGTATGTTGATAGTAAATACGGGTTGAATTTTGGTGATTTTAAGGTGGGCTTAATTTTGTTGATAGTGAAAGTGGGTAGAACTTTTTTGATAGTTAAAGTGGGTTGAATTTTGTTGATTTTAAGGTGGGCTTAATTTTGTTGATAGAGAAGGTGGGTTGAATTTTTTATAGGTAAAGTGTGTTGAATTTTGTTTTTTTGGAGGTGGGCTTAATTTTGTTGATAGTGAAGGTGGGTGGAATTTTTTTATAGTAAAAGTGGGTTGAATTCTGCTGATTTGAAGGTGGGTTTAATTTTGTTGATAGTGGAGGTGGGTTGAAGTTTGTTGATAGTAAAGGTCGAATTTCTTCAACAATGAAGACAATAGGCTGAACTTTTTTAATATTGAAGATAGGTTGCTTTTTTCACCCCCCAGGGCAGGTTGTGCTCCGCACATGCCCTCATATATGGAAGTGAGGCTTCCTGTTCTATATCAAACCCGCGTCACGCTCACCGCTGGTATACCGCATATAATGCGTGTAAATGGTATAGCGATCAAAATATATCAGATATTGCGGCGTCATGTAATTCCTTGAAATTAATGCAATATCCTGTACTGAACCTCCAGTTTGACTTGACTTTCTTGATTACGAAATAAGTTAAAATCAATAAATAAAATAAGTATTTATACATATTCCCTTTTTACTTATCGTTTCCGACTTCAAAATAAATTTTTTTCAAATTACAATACTAAAAATATTGACAGTACTAAAAATATTGAAGCAAAGGTATAAATGTTTGAAATGCTTTAAAATGATTAATTTGATCATAAAAGTGGTCCTTGTGTTCCAAAATTAGTTCCTCCTCATTGTATAGATAAGGAAAAAATTTTATTAAACTTGATTTCCAGCGTTGAAATCAAATTTCCAACTTGCAATATTAACTAAAATTTGCTCTTGTACAATACCCAGTTATGATTTTGTCGCTCTGAAATTTGAAAAATATTAAGATTTTTAACGTGAAACAATCTGAAAATCTGCTAACCTTGTACTGCATTTTATTTATTCGCGCTTTTCACGAAAGAAATGTACGTAGGCGGGAAATTTTTCATTTATTTTAATTCATTTGTTCCATATTTATTTTGATGCAATCGTTAATTACCGATGTAATATTTCCCCACGCCTCTTGTATGCTAATTTGAAAGGAAAATTAGGGGGTATGCTGTGTGGTATGACTGGGTGAACAAGGTATAGGGCACGCGAGGATGGGGCATGTGGGAGGTGCTGAATTCGTTGATATTTGTTCATCTCAGGTACTGAAACCTGAACCTTTGATATATATTAGGACGTATATATAAATTAGGTCACATATATCATATTGAGACATGTGCATGATGGGTATTGCCTTAATTTGGACAATTCCATTTCATGAAATTAAAGGGAGCGTCTTGGCCAAACTATTTGCAAAGTATTGGACACCCAAGAGACCAGCTTCCTTTAGCCCCTCTTGTTGTTTTTAGAAAATCCCGCGCCAAATGAGGCTTAACGGTTTCGTTATTGTGCGTGCGTTTTCTATTTATCCATTTGTTTTATTTTACGCAGATGCATTTCAATTGCAGATACCATAACCCGCAGTTATTTTATGTTTTTGCATGGTAGTTTTGTTTCAAATCTTGAGTAACATCATAACAGCTCCTTTTATTATTATCAATATTTTTTCCTGCATTCAGATCTTTAAGGATGATGGTGCCACTTCATTACTCATCAGGCTCTTGTGATTTTTCGCCTTTTTACAACACTTCTCTTTAACTTCACTTCTTGTTGTTTGTTTGTTTGTTTGTCTGTATGCTATAAATCTTATAATCCATGTGACACACTTCTACCCCTCCAATCGATCTGAAATTTTGCACACTTGCGTAAATTTGGAGACAACGCATGAATAAATTGACAGATCAAAAAATTTTGAAATTTTAAATTTTTTCATATTGAAAAAATTAAAAATTAATTTTCTTTAATATTTGGAAATAAAATTAGAAATTCATTGTACATGTATATGTATATTCATTGTACACATTCAAACGCATATTATTTATATTTAGTTATTGATGTTAATGCTCATAGGAGGTTAACTAAAATATTTAGATTTTCGTTTTTTGTGATTGGTTTTCCGAGTTTCGACTTTACCAAGAACTCTTATACCGTTTAGGGGAGATGGTAGGCTGTATCGGGAAGAGTTGGATAAATACGTTTTCGTAATTCGTTCTTTTATGTATTTCTTTAAAAAGCTTCGAATCTTGAACCTAGACTCTATCACAGCCCTCTTTATTTATTTGCATTTTTGCCATTGATGGAACACCACTACAAATTGTGCACAGTAAACAGCTTTCAATTTAAGACTTTCACTAAAAGATCTTCTGTTTCTACGGTAACGTGGCAAAAATTAGCAATTAATGTTCGTTTAGCGATATCATCAAATATTTAGTTTACGTGATTTATAAAGAATTTTCAAAAAAAATTTTCTATTAGCGCTTTGACGGAGGATGTTTTCAAAACTTAGTGAATATTTTAAGATGTTTTAGCTGAATAAGATTTCTCGCATAGATTATTATGAGAATTGAGTACTTTTTTAAAACGTAGATGATAATGGTTTTTCAATTTAAATCTTTTTAGTTAGTCAGTATTAACACATTCCAGAAAATAATAAGCAATTATTTCAATATAATCAAATACATTAAATAATGTTTCATTTTCTTAGACCTTTGGAAATATAATTGATTCTCTTTAAAAACGGAATTTTGCTGAACTTATAAGAAGATCTGATATTTTGACTGACTCCAATATATGAGTGTTAGCAGAAGCAAGGGAGCTTGAGTCAGCCTAAGATCAATAACTGGATTCCCGGCACTACAGAGTAGAGAGAGCCTGAACTACGAACGATCTTCCCAGTTCATGGAATAAGGTATTTTCGCTCTGTACATCACTTTAAGAAGTCATGAATTATAAAAAATAATTATATTCAATTGCTCTAAATACTGCCCTTGACTTCCTTTGTTTTAAATCATTTTCCCCTCAACAGGTTTAAAAAATGGCCGCTACAGGGGCCGTTGTTGACTTTATGTCGTCTGCATCAGGAGTCGGTCCGCTTAATGAAGGAGATACAATTCACTGCAATATTGTCGGTGTCATGTCCCTGGGTCCCAAGATCATGCGGTTCGTTTTGAACCTGGAATGTGAAGACAAGCCATGCAATGAAACCTACAGGCATGGAGCGCCGGCGCGGAGGCCCTTACTCGAATAAGGTATGGAAAAGGAGATTTTCATTTAGTGCATTTGATTTAGAAAATATTAAAAATGCGTACAATCTAAATATTTTTTCGTTTTTCATACTGCTTGATTGTCGTCTTTTGGAACCTGAAAAACAAAAAATTCCGAGCGTTGCCTCAGGACTGCTGAATAAGCTGCGTGCTGTCAAATATCTGCGGAACAAGGCCTTCCATATTTTGAATACTTATCAGAAGCGATAGCTTTGAATGAATTAAAAATTGAACTTATGGAACTTGTAGAAAAATCCGGAAGGTTTTACTGTTTTCCCCAGTCTGAACTTGAAGACATAAAACTGGAGCTTATCCACGACGTACAGAACTTGCTGGCGCCGCCAAAGAATGTCGAGCAAGCCGCCCTCGCCAAACGCGCTGAGAACGAAATTTGGACAATCAGTAATGTTGGTGTTGTTTACTGGCGAATCTGCTAGGGCTCAGCAGATTCAATGGGTGTTGAATCTTTAGCGAGTCAGAATCAGAGAGGATGTTGAATCTGTTAAGAAGAATGGTTGAATACCGTTGAATAGATAATGATTTAAGATTGATTTTACTATGAACAATTTCATCGATGGCAAAACTCGACACTTGATGAAACCCCGACGCGTGCTCCACAAACACACGCAATCGCCGACAAAATTAATTGTGGCATAGGATATTCCTAATAAATTTAGCTATAAGTTAAAAGAAATTTAAATTTGTTATTTTGAATTGTTTCAAAATAGCTTTCGACAATAAGCTGGAAAGAAATATCACTTACTTTGAAGCCATTAAAATTTGTCCCAATAGGTTTGAGCAGAAATTCCTAAACCAATTTTTTATCGAGTATGTGATAGCCATTACTCCCACTTATTTTAAATTCTGACTAAGCCTATTTACGCACCGCAGATCGTGAGCTTGCAGGGATTTCTTCGATGCCACCGACCTGAGGGCGACGCAGTGGGCAGAAATTGTGACGCGTCGCGTGGGGGACGTCGAACTTCAGCTGCGGGGCCTTGAATGCGAGTACGACCTCCATGACGACCTCCTCCAGCCACTGCTTGGGAGCAAGTAAGAATCTTTTAGGTTAACAATATAGCCAAGCTTATAAATAAATCCAGCAAAAATGTTAGATGCGTAGCCAAGCAAGTTACGAAAGGAACAAATGTTCAACAAAACATCTTAACGTGAACTGACGACTCAACGCGAATAAAAATGAGTGCATATTACTTGAAACTCATTTCGCCTGCTTCTGTCGCCAAAGGGGATTCGGCACAGATCACTAAAAGCCAAGTACAGCATCGACATATTGACAGAGACTCTTCCGATATTTCAGATTTTTGCGACTAGTCTGAGGATAAAACTTCGTACGCTGACTTTAACATACAAATGCAACACACCGAAGCAGCGGCACCCGGTAATCCGACGTGGACCTGACAGTACCGGCGACGGCTACAACACATCGAGAACCTAAACCGATAACGGAAACGAACAGCCTGAATATCACGAGGCTAAGAAAAAGTATTGACGACCTAGATGTTCATTGCGTACCTCTGACGTAAATATTATACTCTTGAGAACCTCAGCACAATCAACATTGATAGGCAAGTACGCTCTCTGCGGGCTCGACGGAAAAGCACCAACATTGGTCCAAGCTTACCAAATTTCATATCCAATTCTCAATTTCGTACCTTCTAAAATGCAATCCCTGTCTTCATGTACTTATCGCTCGTATGTTGAAGACTTTCCATACTACGACGGAGTATACATCCTGCACTGTGTCTAATAAAAATAATGTTTAGGAGTCCCAAGGTCTGGAGTCCCAAGGTCTGGTCACCAGTTTTATTAGATGATCCATGGCTGGCTAATAGACTATTCTACTTGTCCTGCATGGGGCTACTGACAGTATAGGAGTAGACCGGGGTGAGGACGGACCAGCTTATTATAGGTATCAATTTTGCCAGACCCAGCCCAGAATTAACGAAGAAGTACTGAGGCTTTAGAACTATAATCAATAAAATACGTTACATATTTTGTTACATATTTATTTCTTGGATACTGCTGCTCGCTTCTCATGAAATATGTATGATTAATTAGACACTCGAGTAAGATTCTACTGAAAAACAATGAGATGAGATGCGATCATCACAGTATGTTTCTTTAATTAAGTGCGTTAAATGTGTTCATTATTGGCTATTTTATCTCTAATAATCTATATGTTTATTTATTTATTTGCATCTATTGTAAGGAATTGGTTCATTAGTGCAATTTTGATTTCTATTGCAGTCCGAACATACCCGTCTATTTTAGTGAGAACTTTCCAGAGAACGAGATTCTTGGGATTCATTCACTAATAAGCAAAAACGTGAAGCAAATCCTCTTCTCGCAAATCCTCTTCTATCCAAATCCTTTCTATCCTCTTCTTTCCAAAAACGAATCGTAATAATTCACTGACATCATCACTTATGATGATCGCCAATTAGACTTTTGTTGAATCAATCATAAATCTAATGTCCGGCACAACTATCCTAAGCTTGTTTATTCGCAAATGTTTTCGAATTTCGCTGTTGTTGTTGATGTTCCCCGAGTCCAGGTCACGCCAGGAAACTTAACCTGCGCATAAAAGCCACCACCCGTGCCGGGCTCGGACCTCAGCTGTGCGACGTATGTTATGCCTGCCCGTAGCCTGGGTACTGCCGGGCACTCAAGCAGAAGATGCTTGACGGTATTGGGGAGTTGGGTGGTGCATGACATTGGGGACGGTATTGGGGAGTTGGGTTGTGCATGACATTGGGGACGGTATTGGGGAGTTGGGTGGTGCATGACATTGGGGACGGTATTGGGGAGTTGGGTAATATAAACTATATATAGTATATACGCCTGGAAACGTGCAACAAATTATTGATAACTGTATTGTTATCGGGAGCTGAGCTTCCCTAAAAGTTTCAAAACGCTAGCTAGTGGGAAAGTTGGTGAAATATCGATTGCAAGATTTGATCATCACAGACAGACAGACACGAAAGCGAGCTAAGAAAAACGTAGTAATAAAAAACTTAGGAAGCAAATCGTATGTTGAGAGCATGGCATTGCTGCACTGCCAACAGTCCAGTTATAACTTCAACCTGATTTTGAATTCCAACTCAACCCTGACCCCGCAGAGTTCGAGTTCGAAAGCTTCAGTAAGGACATCTGCCGCTCCATGATCTCCATGATGGACGTCGACCGCTCCGGCAAACTTGGCTTGCGCGAGTTCATCCGACTCTGGACCGACATCCCCACCTGGATGGTGAGTTCATCCATGTTGGTATCAGCACTCTGGGTGTGGGTTGTAGCTTTTTATTTCGATGGTCATGCACGCGCTGGGAAAGGTGGACAAAGGAAGACCACGTGCCTGGTAGCGTGAAGCATCATGTCGTGAAAAGCGAGACGGATGATTTACCTCCTCTGCAGCGTGAGGCATGAGGGCTGTAACAAAATGATACGTCAATCAGACTATTATGCGATTTCACCACTAAAAAGCAGTCAATCATAGCGTATTTCCGGGGCTCAAGGGATAGATACAGCCAAGTTTTCGGGACTCCCTTCTGGACTGCCCTGAAGAGAGATCGGTATTTGATGCAAAGGATAAAGCATATAAATAGCTACCGAATTACAGATATGCAATGAAGGAGGTCGTAGATCGCAATAATAGTAAGGAAGAGAGTGTGGTCGACTTTGTTGAACACTTTTAAGGGGAAAACGTTAACAGCCAAGGACTCGCGATCTTTTTCGCTTCCTTGAGGAGAACAGTGACAATCTTGTGACACTGTTTGATGTGGGCAAAATTTATGGAAGCGTGAGAAGATCCAAGATTTTGACTATTGATCAGAGAAGAGAATAGAATAACAACTTATATAGTTTGTAATAATCTCTGTTTCTTCTAATAACCCCCCTCCCCCCAGAACTGCTTCCAGCTCCCCGACAAGGACGGATCCTCTAAGTTGTCCTGAGCTCCGCAGTGCTGGCGAGCGCGGGCTACAATCTCAACAAGCACATTTGCGACGCGCTCATGCTGCGCTACGGCGACAAGGACGGCAACGGAACTTTCGGCGACTACATCAAGTGCAGCGTCAAGCTCAGGAACATGATGGTGGGTCATGTGCAGAACATGATGGGTGAGTCATGTGCAGAACATGATGGGTGAGTCATGTGCAGAACATGATGGGTGAGTCATGTGCAGAACATGATGGGTGAGTCNGTCGTGTTCAGAACATGATGGGTGAGTCATGTGCAGAACATGAGTTTAACTATCGTATTGTTATGATATGCATCAAAGTAGCCTGCATGTGGGGGTGGATTTTATAGCAACGATCTAATCTTTGCCGCCTGAATAGCTATAATACAATACAAAAAAAAATATTTCAACCTTCGTGGCCAAAATTTAATGCCTCCCGCAATATGGTCTTCCATAAATTAATCGTAAATCAAATTCAGAACAGCGATGTAAACAAAGTCTAACTTCACTTAAAAAATGCAACATTCCAAGTCGGTTCCTGGTTATTTTGGTACTAAATATTCTTTAAGAATAAAATTATAATACTGTATGTGGCCAATAAGTAAATTGAAGCAGTGTGTAGCAGTCCCACACTGCTGGAGCTCCGTTTTTCTGTCCAGTTAACGTCAAATTTAATTTCCTTCAAATTAGTCCCATTTAACCTGGCGCCCGAATTTCGCTTCACGAGATTGAAATTCTTTTCTGTCTCAGGTTTGAACCCTCGATTTATATTGTTCATTATAATTATTTACATATTTAAAACCGTAAGAAGATGTAAGGTCTTCGTCTCAGCCACTACTGAACAGTTTTTCAATTTTTTTTTAAGTTTTCTTTTCAGTGCCGTTCTAAGTTCTAAATAGATCAATATTTCCCCTATACTTAAGGTTTGATACACAAAAGGTATATGATTATATACCTCAATATTATTTTTGGCACGTAATTATTGGCTATATATTTTTTATAATTTACTATCTATATATATTATATGTATATATATTGCTCATGTCCGATTTCGATTGCAATTTGCGCCCTTTATTGTGTAATGTTTTTTTTCATGTCGTAACCTTCGCCCTGTTTTATATAGTGAATTTTTCCATATTATGATAATGTTTAAATCAACTATTTCTCAAAAAATGTTTATTTGCTGATAATATTGTGTGAATATTGTCAAGGGTTTTTTTTGTTCTATTTTATTTTTTGAAAGCCTTCATATTTCCAGTAAAATGTATACTAGTTTTTAAATAAGATTTATTTTTACATGGCGGATAAACATTAATTTGTCCGTTTCCAGACCAATTGTTTTGCCGCTGGCGTTTCCACATATGTGCACATTTCACGTATAAAATTTATAGGCTATTCCTACAGATATTAGAATTGATATTATTATAACTTAACCTAACATAACCTAACCTAACCTAAACTAACAACACGAATTGACAGTAGCGTTAAACTAAACCCTCTAAGGTTGCTTTCCAGATGCTGCTACTCGGTTGACCATTTAAAGTTTTGCCGTCATCCATTTAGGAATAAAATATTTGTAATATTCGAAAAGATTTTCCAGGTCGGTGAGAGGAAGTCGCAGCGTCTGGTATCTTTGCCCGTGCACTGATTGGTTGTTTTGAATTCTTGTCGCTTCGTGATTGGTCAAAATGCCAATAATTGGTTGTTGATAGCTTCGACGACTAAATAACTAACTAAATAAATAATAACTTTCAGGGAATAAAAATATACCTTTACCACCCTGACAAAAACATGTTTGGTGAAATTCTGTTGTTGTAGTGCAGTGGTAGTGGGTGGAGCTGGTCGTTGGTTCGAGCCTTCTGAAGCTCAGTTCATTTCTTGGTGTCGCTGGCGAGCAAAGCATACGTAGCCGTCGAGGGTGATGCATCAGTATGGCCTTGATATTCGCCCAAAACTAACGCGTTCGTCGTCACGGGCATGCATTACTTTGGTGGCCACATTGATGGTAGATGCTTTTGAGATGGCGGTCCTGCCACCGTTTCGAGTTTAATCTATACAGGTTTTTTATGATGTTATCGGTAACTAACTAATTGCAGGTGAGTCAACGGTGACTGGCGTACCTTCCGAGGAGGCCATCGAGGAGTTTGCATGTCATTTTATTCATGTTATTGACGGTTAACTGATCGTAAGTGAACCAGGGGAGTCCAAGCCACCTTCTGAGGAAGCCATCGAGGAGTTTGTATGTCATTTTTTTTCATGTTATTGACGGTTAATTGATCGCAGGTGTAACAGGGGGGTCCGAGCCGCCTTCCGAGGAGGCCATCGAGGAGTTTGTATGTCATTTTATTCATGTAATTGACGGTTAACTGATCGCAGGTGAACCAGGGGAATCCGAGCCACCTTCCAAGGAGGCCATCGAGGAGTTTGCATGTCATTTTATTAATGTTATTGACGGTTAATTGAATTTTATTCATGTTATTGACGGTTAACTGATCGCAGGTGAACCAGGGGAGTCCGAACCACCTTCCGAGGAGGCCATCGAGGAGTTCTACAACTCCTTGTTGGAGGAGACCGTGGAACTGCAGCGGGATGCTCCTGCCGAGGAGGAGCCAGAGGAAGAGGAGGAGTGAAGGATGGTGCGATGGTGCAAACGCACCATCAGGGAGGGGACATTATACTGATGCACTTCTCTGCCGGGCCAAACTGGGCCAGAATTACCCAGAAAAAAACAAAAGTACATCGCTATTAGGACAATGTCTCACTCATTTCTATGAGTGTACGCTAAATTTTCTTTTTTAATTTTATTTACAAGATTTTATTAGAAATGTTTGGTTAAAAATGATTCCAGTTTTGTATAGAACTTCTTTTTCTAATCATATGCTTTGGGACTCGTTCATCAGTTTCGTATGCAGATGAATATTGATTTTAATAGTAAACATTATGGACTTGTTGAAGTTCGGAGTTTCTTGCGTCGCTCGTTGGGTCTCCTGTTTCTGGCTGAAATTGTTGCGATATAGAGGCTCAGAATATTGTCGAAGAGTGGATTGGAGTAACCGTTGTTGATGAAGGCTTGTTTTAGTTGCAGGAAACTGTCGTGAAATAACTGCCAAGTATGTGATATTTTATAGGTGCGGTGGATTAATGCCTTGATGTTGCTGTCTTTATATCGTTGGGGGCATTCACTGCGCGCTTTGAGGTATATTCCGTTATTGGTGGGCTTCTGGTATACTGAAGTTATGAAGTTGTCAGTGGCCTATGAATTTTGTTGATTTGAAGGTGGGCTTAATTTTGTTGATAGAGAAGGTGGGTTGAATTTTTTTGATAGTTAAAGTGGGTTGAATTTTGTTTATTTGAAGTTGGGTTGAAGCTTGTTGATAGTAAAGGTTGATTGAATTTCTTCAGCAATGAAGACAATAGGCTGAACTTTTTTAATATCGAAGATAGGTTGATTTGTTCACCCCCCAGGGCAGGTTGTGCTCTGCTCATGCACTAATATACCGGAGAGAGGCTTCCTGTTCTACATCAAACCGCTGCACGCACACCGCTGGTATACCGCATATAATGCGTGTAAATGGTATAGCCATTAAAATATATCATGTATTGCGGCATCATGCAATTGCTTGAAATTAATGCATTATCCTGTACTGAACCTCCAGTTTGACTTTACTTTCTAGATTACGAAATAAGTTATAATCAATAAATAAAATAAGTATTTATACATTCCCTTTTTACTGCGAAGCAAAGGTATTAATGTTTGAAATATGAAAATATGAAGCAAAGGTATTAATGTTTGAAATGCTTTAAAATTATTCGTTTAAACATAGAAGTGGTCCTTGTGTTGCAAAATTAGTTCCTCTTAATTGTATACTTAAGGGAAAGAATTGTATCCAACTTGAGTTCTAGCGTTGAAATCATATTTACCTTTTGCAATATTCACTAAAATTTGCTCTTGTACAATACTCAGTTAAGATTTTGTCGCTCCAAAATTTGAAAAATATTAAGATTTTTAACCAGAATGTTCCCTTACCCCCTACATTTTAATTTCAATATCAATAAACTCAACCCTCTTACATCCCACGATGTCTTATACAATGTGCTCAAGCAGCGTCTTCCATTAAGGTGCGACTTGGCGTCAGGGACCCAACCTCAAACTGCGTGTAACTGGGTCAAATTATCATTATTAACACAACCTTGAGTCGAATTAACCTAACCTTAGTTTCCCCCAAATAGTTTGTCGAGGTAGGCAAAACCATGTCCAAGAGCACGATCATCCTCAAAAGGAAAAGGCCTGCAGTCCTAAACCCAGACTCAAGTTCTATTACCATGTGGCCCTGCTATAAAAAAAAATAACTTGGCACTCACGTTTAATAGGATCACCTAACGTTTGATAGGATGACCTAACGTTTAATAGGACGAGGATGACCTAACGTTTAATAGGACGAGGAAGACCTAATGTTTAATAGGATCACCTAACGTTTAATAGGATGACCTAACGTTTAATAGGATGACCTAATGTTCAATAGGATGACCTAATGTTTAATAGGATGACCTAACGTTTAATAGGATGGCCTAACGTTTAATAGGATGACCTAATGTTTAATAGGATGACATAACGCTTAATAGGGTGACCTAACGTTTATAGGATGCCCTAACGTTTGATAGGTCCTACATTTCCTAGGATAACTCACAGTTTCCTAGGATGACCTTACGTTTAATAGGATGACCTGATGTTCATATACTCGGGAATTGCTTAGGTTATTTTGCCCAAGTAGTGTCACACTTTCTGCGCTTAGCGCTGATGCGCCTTGTTGCCGAACTCACTTCGGTCAGAGTGACCCACAAAGGCCAAATGTGCATCGTTATTTGGGCAACGTCACTCATTTCTCTGAGTGTAGGTTAACCTAACATCTTTTCTAGGTCATGGAACGTGTATTTAGGCGCATTAGTTCCCCAACTCCTTCCCCAGGATATAGGCGAATTATTTCCCCAACTCCTTCTTCAGGTTTGGCCAATTAGTTCCCCAAATCTTCCTCAGGATTTATTCGAATTATTTATTTAACTTCTTCCCCAGGATTTCCCCAGCTGTTGGGGACGCTGGAGCTGACCAGCCTGAGCCCAGACTCTCTCAGACGAAGACGTGACGGCGGCGTGCAGCGCCCCTGGCAGATGAGGGCGTACGAGGGCGCCTGGTGAGGGGCTCTACTGCGGGGGCTGTCGCAACTACCTGCGTTTGTAGTTATCCTTATGTTATCCTGTTACCCCTATATTATTCTGTTATCTTACAACCCTCAGCCTCGTTTACAACCCCCAGCCTCATTTACAACCCCCAGCCTCGTTTACAATCCCCGTCCTCCTAAAGGTGAAGCCCGCCAGTGAGGAGGAGGCCGCGGTTTCTTCGCCAAAGTCGCCGGCGAAGATTTGGAGATTGACTGGAGTGAACTCCGGAGTGTGCTCAACTACGCCATGGAGACGGGTGAGTGGGCTGGAGATTGACTGGAATGAACTCCTGAGTGTGCTCAACTATGCCATGGAGAGGGGTGAGTGGGCTGCAGATTGACTAGAGTGAACTGCAGAGTGTTCTCAACTATGTAATGTAGGGGGGTGAGAGGGTAAAACTGATACAGGCTGTGGTAAACTCCATATTTTGATAAAGATTACCTTTTAAGAACTGAGGAAGCAAATCGTATGTTGCGAGCATGGCATTGCTGCACTGCCAGCAGTCCAGTTATAACTTCAACCTGATTTTGAATTTCAACTCAACCCCTGACCCCGCAGAGTTCGAGTTTGAAGGCTTCAGTAAGGACATCTGCCGCTCCATGATCTCCATGATGGACGTTGACCGCTCCGGCAAACTTGGCTTGCGCGAGTTCATCCGACTCTGGACCGACATCCGCACCTGGGTGGTGAGCGACTCTGAGCCGACATTCGCTCCTGGAAAGTGAGTTCTTCCGACTCTGGACCGACTTCCGCACCTGCATGGTTGGTGAGTTCATCCATGTTGGTATCAGCACTCTGGGTGTTGGTTGTAGCTTTTTATTTCGATGGTCATGCACGCGCTGGGAAAGGTGGACAAAGGAGGACCACGTGCCTGATAGCGTGAAGCATCGTGTTGTGAAAAGCGTGACGGATGATTTATCTCCTCTGCAGCGTCAAGCATCGCGGTCGTAGCAAAGATGATACGTCAATCAGCCTGTTATGCGATGTCGCCACTAAAAAGCAGTCAGTCATAACGTATTTCAGGGGCAAGGGACAGATACAGTCAAGTTATGGGACTCCCTTCTGGACTGCCCTGAAGGGAGATCGGTATTTAATGCAAAGGGTATAACATATAAATAGCTACCGAATTACGCTATGATGGAGGTCGTAGATCGCAACAATGGTAAAGAGGAGAGTGCGGTCGACTTTGTTGGACACTTTTAAGGGGACGACGTTAGCAGCCAAGGACTTGCGAGCTTGAAGAGAGCTGTGACCGTCGTGTGACATGGTTTGATATAGGCAAAATATAGGGAACCGTGAGAAGATCCGAGATTGTGACTATTGATCAGAGAAGAGCAGAGGTTTTTATGGGTGTGACTCTGGTTATACCCTTTCCACCTCCAAGGACTACTTCTAATTCTACGACAAGGAAAGCTAATCGAAATTTGTCAAAATTTGCGTTATTATAATTATGGCTTTACTCTTCCACCCACCCATAACTGCTTCAAGCTCCATGATATGTATGGATCTTCTGATTTGTAATGTTTATATCCTCCTATCTCTTGACTTATGTAGTTGATATAACCTCTGTCACATGTTGTAACAATCCTACCCCCGGAACTGCTTCAAGCCCTACGACAAGGATGGATCCTCTAAGTTGTAGTTGTTATATCCCTTTATCTCATGACTTGCATGTAGTTATTATAACCTCCATCTCACGACTTATATAGTTAACCTCCATCTCATGTTATAACCCCCCTACCCCCAGAACTGCTTCCAGCTCTCCGACAAGGACGGACCCTCCAAGTTGTCCTGAGCTGCGCGCGGCGCTGGCGAGCGCGGGCTACAAGCTCAACAAGCACATCTGCGACGCGCTCATGCTGCGCTACGGCGACAAGGACGGCAACGGAACTTTCGGCGACTACATCATGTGCAGCGTCAAGCTCAGGAACATGATGGGTGAGTCATGTGCAGAACATGATGGGTGAGTCAAAAAACCGGTGTGTGGATGATAGAATTGAAAACCGGTGTGTGGATGATAGAATTAAAAAACCGGTGTGTGGATGACGAGAAAACTTTTGTATGGATTATGGAAGAAGCAATATTTGGATTCTGCTCTTTGGATGAAATGCTTTGGATCGAAGAGTCCATATGCGGATAAAAAAGTTTATTTGGTTCAATAGTTTTAGCTAAGTCTCAACAATGTGAACACGGGATTAGTATCCTTCTGGGATAATCTCAGTATCCTTCAGGGATAATCTCAATAATCTTAAAACTAATAATAATGTGATATACTATGGTATTATTATTACGCCACCTAATCCTTTATTTTATCAAGAAATAACGCACTGTATATACCACCATGTTACCAGGACAAATGTTACCATGTTAATTAGGCCATGGTTGGGAAGTTAATTAGGCGACGGTTGGGAAGTTAATTAGTAGTTAGGATAAATTAGGTTTATAATCAATCGTTATCGCAGGGCGACGCTGCGTCATATGGCCAAACTCAGCGCGCATGAGGGCAGCGAGGCGCTCGTCAGGCCAGCGCGGGTGTGCGGCACAAGTGCTCGCATTTATAATTTATTTTTAATGCACAAATAAGTTTACAATTTATTCCTCAATAATATATGAAAAATGCATTAATTATTCTTCCCCAGTGGGGAGGGCGGGGCTCGGGGCTGCGCCGTCATGGGGAAGAGTTCTTGCATATATATATTTTTTAGGGTTCATATATATAGTTATTTTATCATTTATTAAAATTCTTTCAAATCAATTTTTGAAATATGTTAATATTTAAAAATTAATATATGTAAAATATACTAATTATTCTCCCCCGCAGTCTGGGGCCCCGGTCTGCAGGGCCGCGGGGGGGGGCAGGATTTCGCGCGCATCCGGGACCACTGCCCCGAGACCGGCGTCCTGCTCGGGGACCTGCCGTCCCCGCGCACGACTCGTCGACCTTCTTCAGCAAGAGTCCCCCCAAGTCCTTCCAGCGTTCCCATGTAAGTCCCCCCAAGTCCTTCCAGCGTCCCCATGTAAGTCCCCCCAAGTCCTTCC